TTTGTCTCCCAGAGCCATCTGCTTGGTTTTCATAGCACTGTACAGGACTGAGGTGATCTTCAGCATCTCTTTCACTGCATAGCCGTCAGCCTGGTAGAGACGCTTAGTGTTCAGCTTGATGTGAGCCTTTGTTGCCTGGAACACAAGGAGACACTGTTTAAGATGCAGTAATAACAGACGTTCATTTGCCAAGAATAAACTCTACAGTCTATAAAAAACTTCCAAGAATACGTCACCATGAACTGGGCCACAGCCTTGATGAAGAATATCCTGTCAGCTTCTGTGTCCACATCAGTAGGAACATCACTCTGAGGTTCATATCTATAAGGATGAAAAGAATGAAAGGGTGCAAAAGGCAAAGAAAAGCAAAAATATATCACAGTATCCTCCACTAGAACCATGATGCTTTAACATGGCCGTGTCCAAATGCAGACAGAAAAATGTGGAGGACAGAACAGTGGCAGTATTATTTAGATAAACAATTTGACTTTTTTTAGGCTCAAGCATACCTCTTCACAAGCCATTTCAGGATTTCTGCCACAAGAGAGAAATTTGGAGTCCTGAAGTTCTCCATAGAGATCAAGCGAGGATATCCCAAGGCCCTCATCATTTCTGTGAAATCTGACACATAACATAAAACTCCAATTAACTTCTCACTCAGTTATCTTCTTAAAACAAACAAACAAACCAAAAAAGTGGTCACTACAAACAGCGAAGAGCAGACAGTAAACAACACTTACTTCTTAAATCTCGGAAAGACATTTTCAGCCGATTGCACTGTGCGCCAAAGCTTAGACCACTTTGTCCTCTAGCAGGAAAAAAGAAAGAGCATGTGTTAACAGCAGACGAGCTACCGACTGTGCACGTAGGTTTCTCTCCGAGACTGGCAGGTTTTCAGTGAGAATTTAGTGTTTGGGGTTTATTAAATTAGAGCTGACGTGATTATCATTCACGACATAAAACTTTGTGCATATCAGCAGATGCTAAAATACAGACTTCAGTCACTATTTTAAAAAACTGTAAAACCAACTGTGATAGAATCACCGACGATTTCCCCGCTGATTTGTATTCCCGCACAGGACACCGTATGTTATATGTGAACCCTAATCTTGGTTTAAGCAGTATGTTTATGACTACAAAGCATAGCTAGCTCGTAGCAGGATTTAAGTGAGTAGAAAGCTATCGCTTTTTGTAGTTTTTGGCTAACCTTAGGTTAATCAGTGAAAAGACAGTATATATATTTTCAACGATGAAGTTAGCTGTTATTAAACGTAACACGTTGTGTTTCGGGCATCATTACCTGTTCTAGTTGTTCCAAGCTAAGTGATCGGTGGCCGCTATGAGAGACGGTCTCTATGGAAACCAAAATCTTCTACGGAAGCTCAATACACTCAAAAATACTATCTGCGATAAAATAGCTTACGCAAACCGTGGGCGAGGGGGTGGGGACTTCACGGTGTGCATCACCAAGACTGTGCTGTACATATATATAAGTAGGAGTAGTGTACACTTGTTTTACACTACAATAAGTTTTTAAAAAGGTTTTTAATTTACACCTTTTATGAATATGTTTTCTATACTTTTATTATCTTTTTTTTTTACACTTATAAAATTTATGTTTCCCTCGCTGTTTGCAAAGGTTGCACAGGAACTAACCAACACAGTGACTGGGAAGAAAATGAAAAAAACCAAACTAAAAGAGGAATGTATAAACAAGAAACAATCACAGGGTATCAGAAAAAATATTCACATAGATTATTGGTTTAAAATGTGAAGAAGTTTTATATTTATACGCTGCTCTGTGGGCAATAGGATTGTTACCAGTGAGCAGGATTTTAAGAGTGTTCTACAATAATTCAAAGAAACCAAAATCATCATTGAAACGTTTCAGGATTTTTCTGTTCATGGGTTAGAAACATTCGAGTAGATGGGAGAAAACAAGACAGGATGTGTTACTTTCAAGGGGCCATATTTATTATATGCTGTTGTCATTCAACCCTAAGCCTTGATATTATGTCCAAGAACTGTAGGGACATCTGAGGTGTGCATTTCAGGTTGATGTCAAATCCACAATTCCACTCTATACAGTGTAGTTGTGTGCCATTGTGGCACAACTGTAAAAAATAAAGAAATAAATGGAAACTTTCTATGTTCTATTGTGAATAAAATGTGGGCTTATGAGATTTCCAAAATCATTGAATTCTACATTTTACACACTGTCCCAAAACATAAAACAAAGCAGATAATTTGCATGTTAATACCAAATCATTTGCCAAAAACATAAAAAGGTGGGTGTATTAAAAATATATCAAAGAAATACTTTGGTTAAAAGCAACTATTAATACCCAATTAAAAGTTTTTGAATAAAAGGTATATGGAAACAGGCACTGGAGAGAAGTGTTAATCATTTGGCAAAGAAAAGAACATTGTGGTTAGTAAAAACGACAGATTGGACTGGGAAGCACCCCCCATAGTTTAGGCTACATAACTGTAGTCATTGGATTTTTACATTATATCTGTAGAAACCTAAACTAAACTTTCAAATATAAAGTGGAAAGCACAGTATTTGCATCTTTAGTTGAACGTAAAGCAGCACAAGATGGAAAAAGTCAAATAAAATGCTTCAGAATTATCATTTGAATAAAAAGTCTTATTGAAATGTGGAAGAGTGCATTTTTCCTGCATTTGTGTGAAGTGTGTAGAGCAGGGATGTCAAACTGATTTTTCATTGTGGGACATGTGCAGCTAACTTTGATTGTAAGTGAACCAAGTGAAACCAGCGAAACTCCCCTTTCTGTCATTGTAAAGACATTTAGGTAAACATCTAAACCCTGAATTATCTTTATATAGGAAAAGAATTTCCTGTTTCGTCCATGATAAAAGGTGTAAAATAGTAAATAGAATAGAATACTTTTATTTGTCAATTTCTTCAAATGTACTTGCCATACAAAGGAATTGAAATTACGTTTCACACTGTCCCATGCGTAGACATTGACAACAATAAGGTGCAGATGCACAACAAAAACAGCCCTAACAATAAGATAATAAATAGTAATATAATAATATAAATAGTGCTAAAAGAAATACTAAAAATATATAGCAGCAGGTGTGTGTGCAATTGCAATGCAGATGTAGTTGTTTCCAGTCAGGAATGTTTTCCAGTTCTTGGTTCAGAGAGTGGCAGCACGGTGGCACGGTGGTTAGCACTGTTGCCGCACAGCAAGAAGGTCCTGAGTTCAATTCCACCATCAGGCCGGGGTCTTTCTGTGTGGAGTTTGCATGTTCTCCCCGTGTTTGCGTGGGTTCTCTCCGGGTACTCTGGCTTCCTCCCACCGTCCAAAGACATGCAACTTGTGGGGATAGGTTAATTGGATAATCCAAATTGCCACTAGGTGTGAATGTGAGTGCGAATGGTTGTCTGTCCCTGTGTGTTAGCCCTGCGACAGACTGGCGACCTGTCCAGGGTGTACCCTGCCTCTCGCCCTATGACAGCTGGGATAGGCTCCAGTGCCCCCCGCGACCCTGAAAAGGATAAGCGGAAGCGAATGGATGGATGGATGGTTCAGAGAGTGTTTCCTTGTTGGAGAGTGGGGAGGGGTAGAATCCAATCTGTCTTCCTATACTTCTGCCAATCTGGTGATTCTGCTGGCTGGGAGCCGGGAGGGAAGAGAGTTCAGCAGTCTCACAGCCTGGTGGATGAAGCTGTTGGTGAGCCTGGTAGTGTGGGAGCGGAGACTTCTGTATCTCTTTCCAGAGGGCAGGAGGCTGAACAGACAGTGCGCAGGGTGGGTTGCATCGTTGACAATTGTGATGGCTTTGCGGGTGAGGCGAGTGGTGTAAATGTCTTGCAGGGAGGGGAGTGGGAGTGCTTTCTTGGCCAGTGATGCTGTGTTGGTGGTCCAAGAGAGGTCCTCACTGATGTGCATACCGACAGACAGATTGTTCGTTTTTTCTGCAGGGTGCGTTATCATTATCTGTGGATGTGTAATATTTTTCTTCTTCTGACTAAAGTTTAACATGCTGAAAATCTAATCAAACATCACTTTAGTCTTTAGTGAAACACCAAAAAAGATAGAAAACGTGTATCAGCAAGGGCATTCAGGACAGTGCAGTGGAGGGAACCAATCTGAGATTAGAGCAAGCCTCTTCCAGAAGAGGGCAGTAGTGAGATTCAAAGACGCTAGCTGGCCGCTAAACCCCCAGAAGAAGAAAGAGACGCAGAGCATGATGGAGCAGACCGGCGAGGCCCATCATAACAAGAACAACTCGTCTGGCAATGAACTTCCAGCCTGCGGCCTCCACAGTAAGCGCCTGAAAGAGCTGGAGAATGCCGCCCTGCAGACCACTTTAATATCACGGATGGAGACCGAATCGGGGGCGGACGGCGGGAGCTGGACAGAGCAGGAGCCCGGGGAAGGCGAGCAGTCGAACGTCTTGTCCTTGAACCACCGGTCCGGCCCTCCGCAGCAGCCTGGCGCGGATACCGAAACCGAGGAAGCGGAGCCGGATAGAAACGTGGCCAAGGAGCGGGTCGAAGAGGAAAGGACGCTGACGGACCATTTGAATAAACGACTCCTTTCGTCGTTTCTGGAAAAGCTTAACGAACGGGACCTGGCGCTTCCCGGTGTGCAGCGCCTGGACTGTGCTGTAGCCGACGAGGACTCTAACAGGGCCGCCGATGAGTGGTGAAGAAACCCAGTAGCTCATGCGACAACATGGAGGCGTTTGAGGGATTCAGGACAAACGTGCACGGAAGCACAACCTCACCGCTTTAAAGACTGAACTCCACAGTCATTCCTGCCAGCTTATCGGAGTGTGACGAAATATGTTTACTTTTGTAAGGCCACCATGGATGAAAGGTTGATTTAAAATGCAATAAATGAAATTACTGTGTTATAAGCACTTTCGTTCTCATTTATTTGTGTGTAGTTGGCAGCCATGATGGATGCAGTCATGCGTGTGTGTGGGTGGTTTTGCTTTTCTGCATTTTTTTAGTGACTGTAAATGATCAGCAGGGGTCATCATACACAAAACAATCCTCTTCAGCCTGTTTCTTACATTCGTCTCATTTTTGAGACTAAAGTTTATTCATTTAGTTGTATATTTATTGCACGCAAGATTCCAGAGGGACACATCTCACAATAAATATCACTGTTCGTGTCAATACCACGACCCAATAAATACCCAGCAATAACAGTTCACTTTCTGTCAGGAGACTTTAGGTGTGAATGCAGTCACAGGTGTTGTGGTGTAGAATTTTGTTTTATCTGCTGTGTATTTAGGGTGAAGTGTGAAACTGACAGTACAAAGAGGGTGTTCTGTGTTGTGCTAATGGGGTGTGTTTGTAATGTTGCATGGCAGCAGAAAACAAGTGCAGCATAATGAAATAAAGCTGAACTCCAACCTCTGAGGGGACTGAACTGAACAATAGCTTGTTTTACCCCTTTATTTTTCTTGTTTACACACATGGGGTTACTTTTGCTTCGAAGGTTTTCTTTTTATTTCTCAGATGTCTTTTTGTATAATTGTGTAAAATTGATCTTAGCCACTGAGCCATTGATCTTTGTTTATTTAGAGGTACACCTGCAGTCCACAGTTAAGTAGAAAGTCATAACTGGTACATTATTAAAGGGAAAAATCCCCTCATTCTTTAGGAGGAAGTTTTAGGCTCATTCGAGCAGATGTTAAATGATTGCTGAATGAGGAAGCAAGGGTTGAATTACAGTTTAAGCATATCCCGTGTACCTGCCCACATGTCGGTTAATGCTGGTTGAAGTGCAGGTGTGCATTGTTAGGAATATGGAACATACCAGAATGAGAGTTCCCATGAAAGAGCCTTTCATCACCTCTGATAGTCTGCACTTATAGTTTCTTGGCACAGGTGTAACTTAAAATATGAGGCAGACTTAGAACCAAAATATATAGAGAGAAACACTTTGAAAATGAAAACAACACCTAAATTTATTAGTGCCGATAGAGAGAAGATAGCACCGTGATGTGTTCCAGTGGGATCAGTAGTCTTCTAACAGCTATAGACTGTGCAGTGACTTTATTTTCTGCTGTCTCTTTGGTCTCCTTCCCCTTCCCCTGCATCCTGCTTGTTCATTGTCATCAAAGACACACACTGTAGTTCTTCTGACACTTTGTCTCCCTCCTGAAAACAAAACAGAACCACAGTTAGAGAAAAAGTTTAAAAATAAAGCAAGAGACTGACACAAATCTACAATAATACCTTCTTTATGCACTAACTTTGTTACACCTATTCAACTGCTTTTAACTAATGTATAATCAATCAGGTAGCAGCAGCTCAATGCATTTAGGAATGTAAGCACAGTTAAGACGACCTGCTAAAATTCAAAACAAGCATCAGAATAGGAAAGAAAAATGTTGTAGTGTCAGGTGGTGTATTTCAGAAACTACTGATTTGCTGGGATTTTCCCCACACAACAAGCTCCAAAGTTTACAGACAATGGTCTGAGAAAGAGTTCCCCCAGTTCCCTGGGGGAAAATGCTTTGATGATGTCAGAGGTCAAAGGAGAATGGCTGGCTGCTTTCAGCTGATAGGAAAGTGACAGCAACGCAAATATCAGTTGCTACAACTAAGATTTGCAGAAGAGCATCTTTCAAAGCACAACACAGCAGGAGAAGACCACAATGAATACCTCTATTCCTGTCAGCATAGAACAGGAAACAGCCTGTAAATTTGCCCACCAAGCTTAGGCAATAGAAGATTAAGAACAACATTCTGCAACGTTCAGATTTTAGGATCAGAATTTGGTGTAAACAACATGAAAGAATGGATTCATCCTGCTTTGTACTGACAGTTCAGACTTGGCGTGTAATGGTGTAAGGACAAGAATATTCTTGTCATGTTTTGGGCCACTTATTACCAACAGAGCAACGTCTAATCCCCACAGCCAGCCAGAGTATCGTTGCTGATCACACTGATTTCTTGAATGTGACAGTGAGTTCACTGTACTCCAATGGCCTCTACTGTTATAAACATAGAATAAAGCACCTTTGGGATGTGGTGGAAGGGAAGATTTGCAGCGAATAATCTGCAGCAGCTGTGTGATGCTGTCACATCAATATGGACCAAAATTTCTGAGGAATGTTTCCAACACTTTATTGAATCTGTGTCATAAAGAATTAAGGCTACTGTGATAAAAACCAAAACAAAAAAAAAACTGACCTAGTACTTCCAAGGTGTAGCTAACAAAATGGCTGATGAGTACACACTTAAAATAAGGGAAAGTGAAAACTTCTTGGACAAGAAATCTTTAACAGACTGATCATAATTTCTGTGTTTACACTAACACCATATTCCATATTCCACTTTGAAGTCACGTGTTGAGTTATAAAGCAATAATTACCTTTTAAAACAGATTAATTAATAAATTCATTTTCTTTTGTACATTTTCCCATGGAAATAAGACAAATGTAATACATGTAAACATAACTGACATCTGAGTGGGAAAAAATATCCTTTGAGCCCCCTTCACGTGTTCTAACAGTATTTAGGGCTGCTGTGCACAGTCCATAGTCCTGGTTGTGCACAAGGACTATGGAAAGTACAGTCATTGACTGTGCAGGACAGTCATACAGGACTTACTCTGTTTTTAGGGGAACCCTCCACTTTCTTCTTTTTCAGGTCCCACCATAACAAACCTTCTTTAATGTTCTCCCTCTTTGTTGGGCCTGTGTTGAGAGAAAAAGAATGGCGTAATATGTTTTAAATGCACTGTTTGATTGCTTTGGCATATCTGAAGCGTGTGCACTTTTATTATCTTGAAATCAAATAAAAGCACTGTGAATCAGCAGTTTTATAAACACAATAACAGCTTTTTACCTGTTGCGTAGCTCACAATTACACCGACAAGTACAACTGAACTAGTTGCCATGGCACCGAAGTAGAGGTAGGACATGGAGTAGAAGTTTAACAGGCCCCTAGTTTTGGGAAAAACAGGATAACAACTATTATTATTACTATTATTATTATTATTATCATTATTATTATTATTATAAACTAGCATGTACGTTTAAGCCTCACTGAACTCACTGACCCCTGGTTATTGGGGTGAAGCCGGGTGGAGACAGAGTGCTGGTCTTCGATAGCTATGCTACTCTGGGTGGTGTTTATGGATTCACAGGAACCTGCTAAGCTGGGCAGGACACCCATGGTCTCCTCACTGGGTGGATACAGAGTTGAACCTACAGCTAGCCACATAGAGACAAGGAAGCCAGCTAATATCCCCGTGAATGCCCCCTGAAACACAGATAAAGCAAATGAGCATCCATGGCCAGCTGGTTTCTAAAATGTTTACCTGTAGCACAGTGTCGCTGTGAAAAACAGTAATGGCCCATGTGAGGTAACACACACTCCACGTAAGTGGGACCTCCTTAAATGTAAGGAATTCAGAAAGTAAATATGTGCACTGATAAATTTCCAGGGAAAGTTGTCTGGCTAACAGAACAATATCAAGGTGCTGTGTCAAGAGCGATGAGTGTGAACTGCTTTTTAACTGTTTCACTATTAAACTAGAGCTCACAAAGTTACTGCTTTAAAATGTTTTATGTGACGTGTCCGAACAAAGGAGTGGTGTTAACAGTAACACAGATTCATCATGGATCTGTGACTAACACCCAAGTCTTCCTTAATAGATAAGATAGATGTCTACATTAATACATGGCAAACATTCAAGTTAATAATTGTTATATTTTCAAGAAATACGTTTCAAAATTTCCATCGAGTATTATGCAATTTAGTTTGAGACATTCTCCTGATATTTTTAGATTAAAGAGAATACAATTCAGGCCATTGTTTAAGTCGTTTGGCTTTTACCTGTGAATTTAATCTAAGTACATGTGCTTCTTGGAAGTATTTGTAGATCATTTCTTTACCAGTCACTCACCAGTCTGTTTGCTGCTGGGAAAAATATTCCCAAAATAAACACTCCAAGTAATGGGCCGCTGACCACACCCATGACAGTAAATGATCCCTAAAGAGGGAAGATAAATGGTACGTTCGAAAATCAACCCAAAAAACTTTGTTACAGAGTATAGTATAAATCTTATCTGTAATTAGTTATTCAGGTCAAAAATGTAACTGTCTTATATCTCTTACATATGCACTGCATGCCTGAATTACGGTGCCCATGTGAGAAAAGTGCATCTAACATTTCTGAAGTTTCAAAATACCTCCTGCTGTGTGTGGCATATCTGAAACTGCAACTTTTACACAGTCTTCCAACATTATCTGGGTTTCATGTATGACAACAACAATAGTTGTATAACAACAACTATTGTTTTATCATTTTTGTTAAAAATTGCAAAAATCTTTGGTAAAATGATTGATTATGATATTGTTACCTGAAGAACTCCCCAGTTCACTAGGGAGGAGAGTGCAGCCACCAAGATACAACCACCACCATACAGGAGTGCTTAGAGAAAAGGTTCAAAATGCATTATTGCCGAATATGACTTATTCTAAGAATCTGGGACTAAAACATTACAGCAGTAAGTGGTATAGTCAGCCTACACAGTCCTCTGGAAACCAGCATCAGTTTCTTCTGTGTCATGTGAAGCAGATAGGGGTGCAGGATATCCTCAATCGTCACCGCAGCCATGGCATTGATGCTTGTGGAAGCCGTACTGTTAAAAAGAGGCTTGATTAACATTAATCTCATAGCGGCAGCTCATTATTTGATGGTTCTTTCTTGTGCATAAAAATGTGTAATATATATGTATACAGTATGTAAAAGATGTAACATGCATATGATGAATGTTAGATGTTAACAGAGGATATGTAGTTTAGTCTGATATTTCCTCACATTCACTTGAAGACTGAAGAGTTTTTTGTCTTTAAACCTCAAATAGCCTTAAACCATCACACAAGTTACGAAATGTCTCAAGCGAAGTTATTTATGCTGGCTCCTTGTAATGTGAGGGACATACCTGCTTCAGGTAAGGTTTAAAAAAACGTAGATTTGGATACCTCAAAGTCCCGCTGTATGCACAGGCGAGGAAAAGACCTGGGAAGCCCGGGTAATTTTGGAATATGTCCAGCACAAAGTACGGCATAAGCTTCATCAGATGCATAAAGAGTAAAAAAAACAAAAAACCCCCCAACAATAAACAGGTACATACTGGCATGTAACATACGAGCATACCAAAACACACTAGTTATTAGTGGTATTCAGTCTTGGCCACATAAAGGCCCTGCTGAGATAATAGAAATGTCCGTATTTGTTTGTTTGTTTTTTTCCTTGTACAATATGGATATTTACTGTATACCTCAATATGCAACTAAGTAAAATATTCCATTTAGCCATTAGCCTAATTTAACAATAAAATGAGTTTAGCTAAGAACAAATGTCTGCATCTCAAGAAACATCTTAAAACTGACTCATTAAATATTTCGTTGCTCAGTACAAAATGAAAGTAATCTGATTACCAGGTCAGGTTTAGAAATCCTCCCAGACTTCAGTGGATCACACGTGTTGTAAAAAGCAAACATGACGATGCCACAGGTTGCTGCACTGCTCACAATGAGGCACAGACCCACTTGGTTCACAAACAGTGCCCTGAAAATGAAACCAAACATGATGACTGTTTCCACTTCCTACTTACTGGTGTGGGAAAAGTGAAAAACTGTTATTATAAATTTTAATCTAAAACTTGAATTAGATATCCATCTATGCTTGGAAGTAAATTTACATTACAAAGAATTGCTGGTTAATATATGGAGATGTTCATTGTCATAATAACACATTCCTTCTTAAGTGTAATCAGTATATGTACATGCAAATATCATAATTAAAAAACCCAAATCGATGGATATGTAATGTCTGTAGGACAACAATGCTTTATAATATCAAGTGCCTATTAAGAAGAACTAGTGCCTGAACTATCAGACCTGGACAGTCCTCTCACTTTGAGAAAACATGAATGAGGACCACAATAGCAGACACCTGGAAAATAATGATACTGTCCTGAGGGAGTCACTGTGAAACAATCTACCTTGCATCCATAATTAAATGACAAAAGTCTTCTTATTAAAGCTATTTTAAACCATTAGATAAACAAAGATGTCAGAGCTTTCATGAGGATTTTAGAAGACGAGGCTATTCAGTCCAAAGTTGGAGAGTTTTGAAAAATCAGAAACAGGGAAATGGCACAAAAGCAGTCAGAGAATAGCACATTTAAAAAGATGAACGACAGCAGAGTAATGATGCAAACTGTAGAGCCACAACAATGTTTGATGCAACATATTTTGAGACAATGTATACATGGCTACAATAGCATCTATGGTCAGCCCATAGCACCAACAGTAAACTGGCCTCAGACTGGCAACTTTTAGGCTACAGGTCCATTTTGTTAATCTGTGTGTGTGAGACAACCATGTTGGGGACATCCCCTCTGACTGACATCATGCAGAGCCAGTCTGAAGCCTGAGCTCTTGGCTCATGGGGTTAGTTAAACACATGCTGACCTTATTATTTGAAACTCTGACCTCTTCCTTGTCTTGTCGCATGGCTTTTCAGTGGTTGGTTACGTTTCAGCTATTATAACTGAAACATAATCAGATTTCATGGATACTATGCTTGTGTCATAGTCTGTCTGTTTCAGCATGTAGGTGTTCACTCACCACTGGGCCGCTCTCTCTGATCGACAGGAGATGTATCGCTGGACTTGTGCTTGGTTCACTCCGTACATGGACAGCCAAACCAATGCACCCCCAACAGAGAGGCTCCAGAATGTGTAGCGATGCCGTGGGTCAAAGCTAAAACTGTGGAAGATCCAAGTAGCATTTGCAGTGACTTGTTCAGTCTTTTTGTATCAAGATGTAGTCGCACACTAATGTACATTTATAAAGACATTCATAATTAAAAATGTTTTTTACTCATTAAAATTAATGCGTGATCCATTGTTTGCAATCCTCAGTACTTGTGCCGGACCACCAACCAGGACTGTGCCATGGATGTAAATGGCCACAAAGCCCAACAACATGACAATGATCTGGAATACATCAGTCCAGATCACAGCTTTTATTCCACCCTATACAGAGATGAGAGGAGACAGAAACAGAGCATGAGACAAATGTTTGCACCTTAATAACTTAATACAAAACCTGAAACACGATGTCAGCTGAATGTTTGTGTTTTAATCTCTGATTTAAGTTTACTGCTCTGTGTTAGATACACAGTAACAGCATTTTTATTCTCAGAGAAGTCTGAGGTTAAAAGACATCTACCACGAGAAAAAACATCCCCCAAAACCAAAATAATCTGCTAGTTTTATCTAGACAACTTAGTTTACATTTTATTTTTGTTTAGGCATCTTATTTTGAAATACATCCTGCACAAATGAGCCAACAAGGCATTTTTAAATGAACACTGAACTCTGAAACAGGTGGTGGTCTGATGCTGCATGCTTACTTGTTTGATGAGAATATTAAAGCAGTCTTCTTACCAGTGTGGTGTACAAGGTGCAGATGAGCCCAGTAGAAAATAGGGATGCCCATATGTTGAGTCCAGTAGCTACAAAAACAGTGAATGAAACAACAGCTTTATTTGTAAACTACAAGAACCAGTCATTAATAATGTGTGAAAACCATCCACAAATTTATGGTAAAAAAGTAAAAATTATTTCTGGTACTAATTCAATTCAAGTTATTTTATTTATACAGCGCCAAATCACAACAACAGTTGCCTCAAGGCGCTTTATATTGTAAGGTAGACCCTACAATAATACATACAGAGAAAAACCCAACAATCATATGAGCAAGCACTTTGGCAACAGTGGGAAGGAAAAACTCCCTTTTAACAGGAAGAAACCTCCGGCAGAACCAGGCTCAGGGAGGGGCGGGGCCATCTCCCACGACCGGGGAGAGAGAAAGAAGACAGTACTAAAGAACTAAAGTACTAAAAGACGGTACTAAATATCATACATACAGTAATTAAATTTGCCTTCTTGAGTTTTGAGCAAAGATACTTAATTAAAAAGTTTCATAAAAAGTCAGTGCAGCAGGTCTTAGTGTCAGGTTTAATGTCACCCTTTCCTATCACTGTTCAGATATTTCTTATCACTGTTTAAACATTCATTTTTGTAACACATATTTCCCTTAAATTTATTCCACACATCCTCTTCTCAGAAATAAACGGTTTAGCTGAGTCAACACTGATAAGGAGCAAAACGTCTGGTGCTATAAATACACACGTGTTCTCCAGTATGACAAAGTGTCAAATAAATGAAAATATCCTATGAAAACAGAGGACCATGTTTAGACCTCACCTACCTTGATTCAGAATTAAAGCTGGCGCGTAGATGACAATCCCTGTGTAAAGCAGCTGTGAGAGAGGAAATTCAAGCAAAGCAGCAAAAAGGTGATAAACACTGGGTTAAAGGATTGAAGCCACTAGGTTTGCCTGAAGATGAATAAATATGAGAAGAATTTGAAAATAAAAAATGTCTTTGTGAGCTCCAAATTCTTCAATCCAACAGAGAACATTACATTGTCTGTCTTACCGTGGCAACGAGAAACTGAATGCTCCCCAGCAGCTGCATCCCTCTGCCAAATCTCATCCTCAGATACTGTGACAGGCAGATGGTCGGTGTTATAACCTCATCCTTCTTCACCCCCTATATTCACCATGTTTGAAGGACTACAGGCACCTTTCAACACTTGGTCAGATAAATTCTATTACTTCGCTGTTGATAAATACATTGTCATGTTTCGTTAATAAAAATCCTCAAATCAAACTATTTTTATTATATTGTTCTAAAATTAGCAGCCACTCAATCATCAGTGGCAAATAAAATTATTGCTCCTGTTACTTTGATAATTGCACAATGTAATGCATATTTATAAACTTTTGAATTTGTTAATTTTTATTTGTTAATCATTGCAATGAGGTCATATGAAATATAAGAAATATGTGATTTAATTTAAAAAAAAAAAACATACAAAATTTGCAATTCACAATGAAAGTTTGTTATATAGACATGTGACATGCAAGGGATATTTCCATAGCAATTTATCTTAGTGTGAAAGGGTTTCGCAGAATTATGTTACATAGAATCATCTAAATATAATTATGTGCATCATGAATGAATTAAAACAATTCAGAAGACTGAAATATACTCATTTCCTTCATAAAATAAATGAGGCAATGACTATTAGGTCATTAGAACCTGATTGGTGCTGGTGATGCCCAGTCGAAAGAAAACCGGCAGGAACAGGTAAGCTGTCAGCAAGGAGTTGATGCTTTGTCCGAGGCACATGTAGAGGAATTTGAAGCCATAGCGAAAACCTTCAGAAGGAACACCCAGAACCTGGACTGCTGACATGAAGCTGGCACAGAGAGACAAGCCAACAGGAATCGCTGGCAAGCTCCGGCCCCCAGTGAAGAAGTCGTCAGCAGTTGCTTCTCTTGGCCTTTTCTTCAGGGCCTGGAAAAGTCCTATCGCCACAGAAACCAATAACATGGCAGCAAAGACTGCATAGTCAGCCAAAACAAAACCTGGTCCGGATGGCTCACTAGCAGACTGGCCTTCCATTATTGAGTTTGATAATCTCAGCCCTCTAGATTTCTCCACAGTCAGGATGTTTGGTGAATCTGTCAGTGGGAATTACATCCAATTAGTAACCAAACAACTCCTGAAGTTTGAAAAAGTCATTTTAAATTCATATTAATGTATTTTAAATATAAACACTGTGAGAATTCTTAAAGTCAACTAAATGCAACATTTTTGAAAACTGATTTGGGCGGCATGGTGGCAGCGCTGTTACCTCACAGCAAGAAGTTTCCTACGTTCAAATTCATAATCTGGCTGCTGCCTTTCACTGTAGAGCTTTTGTGTTTGTCATGTGTTTCTGTGTGTCTGCTTGGGATTTCTCCAGGTAGTCTGGTTTCCTCCTACAGTCTAACACTTGCAGTTAGTGGGCCGGGCATAATTGGTAATTCTAAATTGGCCACAGGTGTGAATTCTCTATTAGCCCTAACAGAAATGCAAGCTGTGCAGGACCTGGCCCCTGTCGTAGCAGAGTATAGGATGATCAAAGTCAGATAAGTGTTTCATGTGTCACCCTCTTGCATGAACGTGAAATAAAACAGGAAACCACATGCAGTTTGCTGTGCTTAGACTTGTTTTTAACATGTTGTGAAATCATTTTAACCAGTCTTAAGTCTTACACTGTTTACAATGCGACAGCATCCCCACCACACACACACACACACACACACACACACACACACACATACATATATATATATATATATATATATATATCTATATATATATATATATATATATATATATACAGTGTTGGGTGTAATGCGTTACTAAGTAACGCGTTTCTGTAATTAAATTACTTTTCCACTGAAAAAGTAGAGTAACTAATTACTGTTCATTTTTAGGTATTTTAATTACAGTTACTTACAAAGTGCTTGTGTTACATTGTAAAATAATTAAACCCGCTGAATATCATTATTTAATTTCAATAATTTATCTTCTAAACGTAGAAGTAAACTCTGCTGATTTAACATCGCTGTAGTGCAGGTGCACGTCATTTCACGCCAGTTTGCTGCATAGTCGTATTCTAAAGCGGAAGATGTCGGACTCGGCTGAAGTGTGTGGCTGTTTTTTGAAATGGACATATTCCCGTCTCTTCACTTTTCTGAAACAAGCAGACAAGAATATTACAATAATATGTAAGCTATGTCCTGGGGAGAAAAAACTATCAGCTGAAGCGCCTGACACGAGAGCATAGACGAACACTTCTGAGTGATCCTTGTTCATCATCCATGGATAACACCGCGGCAACTCCTGCTAAGCACGCAAAACCTGACTTTACTTCAGCAGCACAGAAAGCGTCTGAAGGTGAGCTTTTTTTTTTTCCAAGATGGGGCCACAGGCAGCTTGTTACCTCAGCTCCCAGCTCGTTTTTCTTTTCTTTTTATTTTTCTTTGTGTTTTAAGCTTTTTCCCCCCGACTCTCTTGGTCATCTTTTATTTGAACTACAACCTGTAGAGTAATTCCATGTCTTCTACTCCCTTTGGGAATTTTCATCACCACATCCAGAGAACCTGTAAGTCACCGCGTTGTTTAAATAAGTAAATAGCGAGTTAAATTTTTGTCTTCTTTTTTTCCTGCTGATCCGAAAATTGATCCGATCTGTGACGAAAAAAACGTGATCCGATCCGTGAGACTTTTGATCCGTTGCACCACTAGTTTCTACCAAGAAGGTACAAGAAGACCTGAAGGCCCTGCTGAAAGAAATCTCTGGACACTTCTAGGACAATAGAGGAGCCACAGTGTCTATTGAGCAGTGGTGAGCAACAACTTGAATCTGTTTTTCCAACAGATTTGACTCTGGACCACTTACCACCTCCCCCACCCCTGAGGTTCCCTCAGCCCTCCTCCATATGGCCTGCATTTGTATAGCGCTTTTCTAGTCCCTAAGGACCCCAAAGCGCTTTACATATCCAGTCATCCACCCATTCACACACACATTCACGATGGCAAGCTACATTGTAGCCACAGCTGCCCTGGGGCGCACTGACAGAGGACACTGGCGCCACGGGCCCTCTGACCACCACCAGTAGGCAAACATGGGGTTATTATCTTGCCCAAGGATATTTGGCATGCAGCCAGGAGGCAGCCTGGGATCGAACCACCGACCTTCTGATTAGTGGCTGACCTGCTCTGCCACCTGAGCTACAGCCACCCCGTACACATCTTTAGCCTGAACATGAGTCTGGAAAGGTTTCCTGAACTGTGGAAGACTTCTTGTGTGGTTCTGGTGCCAAAGATCGCACACCCCAGGGAGCCCAACCACTTCAAGTCTGTGGCTTTGACTTCTCACCTGATGAAGACCATGGAAAGGCTCATCCTGCACCACCACCGTTCCCTCTCTCACCTAGAGCAGGCATGGAGCACTTTGAGGATCATGTTTTTGTCTTCTCGACACCATCCAGTCTGCACTACTGAGAGGGAAGCTGGAGGGAGCTGGAGTGGGCAAACAGATCACTGCATGTGACTTTCCATGGCTATGTGTCCGAGGTGGTAATCTGCAGCATGGGGGTGCCAGGACATTCTATGACTGTGCCGTTTTCTATGCAGTGGCCTGCTGGGGGAGCAGATGCACAGACAGGGACAGGAGCAGGATTGACAAACTGGTGCAGAGGTCTAGCCTCTGTGCTGGGATGTGCTCTGGAATCCGTGGTGGTAGTGGGCGAGAGGAGGATGTTAGTCAATCAGACATCCATCATGAGCATCCCACATCACCCTCTGTATGAGTCTGTGAGTGCACTGAGCAGCTCCTTTAGAATAGAATAGAATAGAATAGAATAGAATAGCCTTTATTGTCATTGTACAGAGTACAACGAAATTGGAGTGCCACTCCCTTGGTGCAAGTTTCAATAATAAATATAAATGTAAAATATAAAAAGTACAAAAAACCAATCGTAAGTACTCAAACAATACTATGTACAATATATACAGGATAGCAGCATTAATATAATGACAGTATGAATAGCAGCATAATATAATGACAGTGACGGTATGGAATAGGTTCAATTGTTTTTGTGCTTATTTACTACGGTGATAGCTCTGGGAAAGAAGCTATCCCTGAATCTGTTTGTCCTGGTTTTATGTGACCTGTACCGTCGGCCTGACGGTAATAGTTCAAACAGTTGGTTGCTGGGGTGAGAGTAGTCCTTGATGATATTGCCAGCTCTGCTGAGGTACCGAGAGTTTGCAGTGACCTCCAGGCTGGGCAGAGAGCAGCCAGTGATCTTCTGGGCTGTGTTGATGACCCTCTGCAGTACTTTCCTATCTGCAGCTGAGCACCCTGCATACCATGTTGTTATGCCGTACGTTAGGATGCTCTCTATGGTGGCTCTGTAAAATGTCACCAGCAGCCTCTCCTCCAGGTTGTTCCTCCTGAGCACTCTCAGAAAGTGGAGACGCTGCTGGGCCTTTTTAACCACCGCCGTGGTATTTGCAGTCCAGGAGAGGTCATCAGAGATCTGCACGCCCAGAAACCTCATGGAGTGTACCCTCTCCACACAGTTCCCGTGAATGTAAAGTGGGGCCAGGTCTGCTCTGCCCTTCCTGAAGTCCAAGATAAGTTCTTTAGTTTTCGTGGTGTTCAGTTGGGGGTTGTCAGAGACTGAAACACCCTAGCTGCAGGAAGGAGCACTTTCGCAGATCATTCATCCCGACAGCAGTTAGACTCTATAACTCCTCAAACATGCTGTCATGAGTCACTTGGACATTGTGGACATCCACAGTTACCACTTCATGCATAATGCACCATATATATGTATGGACGTGTGCATGTATATGTGTACGCATACGTGTATATATATATGTATATTTAGTGAGTATGGTGTATGTGTGTTTGTACATGTGTGTGTACATGTACATGTCTATACTTATAGATATGTATTACTTACATAGTAAGTGTAGTAGTAGAATAGTATAGCCAGCAGAAAAAGCAGAGGTGGGGACACGTCTCCGTTAAATTATCGGTATGCTGTCCAGACCTGGAGCTGCTAGCCGTTAGCTTGCGGCCATATTATCTACCTCGAGAGTTCAGTCATGTGATCTGTGTGTGTGTTTACATTCTTCCAAGGGCCAACGCAGCAGCTGCCTGTGAGGAAATACACACAGTTACAGCAAGACTGCAGACACAACACCCTGAGGCTTTCATTATTATATCTGGAGACTTCAATCATGCCACACTGGATTCTACTCTGGCTGCTTTTCACCAGTTTGTAAATTGTCCCACAAGGAGCAACAGGACAATTGACCTACTGTATGCTAATGTGAGAGATGCATACAGAGCCACCCCCCTCCCCCCACTAGGGAAGTCAGACCACAACCTGGTTTACCTACAGCCACAATACACACCCCTCATCCAAAGGCAGCCTGTCACAACACGCTCCATCAGGAGATGGACCCCAGAAAAGGAGGATGCTCTGAGAGACTGCTATGACACCACAGACTGGGATGTGCTTCTGAGCCCACATGGTGAGGACATAGAGGGGGCGACACACTGTCTGACAGACTACCTTAACTTTTGTGTGGACACGGTCGCCCCTGCTAAGACTGTACGGTGTTATCCTAATAACAAACCGTGGGTAACACAGGAAGTCAAAGCTGTCCTCAACATGAAGAAAAAGGCTTTCAGGAGCAAAGTGAAGGAGGAGATGAAAGCAGCACAGCGGGAGGTGAAACGCTGCCTGAGGGAAGCAAAGGACACCTACAGCAGGAAGGCGGAGCAGAAGTTGGAGAGGAACAATATGATCGAGGTCTGGAATGGTGTGAAAACCATCACGGGCCACAACACCAAGAACAGCACAGTGGGGGGGACTGTGGAGAAGGCAAACGAACTCAACAACTTCTTCAACAGGTTTGACCAGCCCACAACCCCCCCAGCCTCACCTTTACTACAGAGCCCTCTCCCCACTCTCCTACTTCCCTCGCTTCCCCCCCATCCTGACACTATGACACCCTCCTCCTCCAACCCCTCTCTCAACAGCAGGACATCTCCCCCCCCCCCCCCCCCCCCCCCTCCTTCCAATCATCTCCCAGTGTCACAGTGGATCAGATCAGAAGACAACTGAGGAAGCTTCGCCCCAGAATGGCAGCAGGCCCAGACAAGGTGTGTCCTAGGATGCTAAAGGCGTGTGCTGCTGAACTTGGGGAGCCGCTACAACGAGTCTTCAATCTCAGTCTGCGACTGGGGAGAGTTACCGCCCTATGGAAGACATCCTGCATCGTCCCGGTCCCCAAAAGGAACCGACCCAATGAGCTGAATGACTTCCGACCAGTGGCACTGACGTCACATCTTATGAAGACTCTAGAGCGGCTGTACCTCCTACACAGAGCCCACTCACACCTGGACAAGGGAAAAGGCATGGTCAGGATCCTGTTTCTTGACTTTTCCAGTGCCTTTAATACCATCCAGCCCTGTCTGCTCCAGGAAAAACTGAACAGGATGCAGGTGGACCCCTGCCTGGTCGCTTGGACCTCTGACTACCTCACTGACAGACCACAGTACGTCAGGCTGAAGGACATCACGTCTGACACTGTGGTCAGCAGCACAGGAGCACCACAGGGAACTGTGCTTTCCCCTCTTCTCTTCACCCTGTACACCTCTGACTTCTGCTACAACTCTGAATTATGTCATATTCAGAAGTTTGCAGATGACACAGCCATCATGGGGTGTATCTGGGATAATCAGGAAGAGGAGTACAGAAGTCTGGTGAGGAACTTCATCACATGGAGTCACACAAACCAACTGAGCTGTAGTGCCTCTTCACTTCACTGTGCAATACTTTTTGTGCAATACTTTTTGTGCAATACTTTTTGTTAATAGTCAGCGGTGCAATAGACTTCAATACTTGAAATGTGCAATTCCCTTGTATTCTTATTTCTATTTATTCTATTTATCCCTTTCGTATATTTTTTTTATATATGTCTCTGTATTTATATATGTGTATATATATATAATATTCTGCTCACGTTCTGTAACTCCTGTCGGTGCTGTGCTATTGGAAACCCAATTTCCCAGAGGAACCCACCCGAGAGATTAATAAAGTTTTATCTTATCTTAGTTGAAATTTATTACTTGCAAATTTCCACAACCCTCTATCCATAACACGCTCTAGGCATGCGTATACATAGAACCTCCGCTACCGTTGTGTATATTTTATTATCTTATTTGTTTTGTATTTCTTGACTTTATATTCTAGTATTCTTTTGCTATCTATACCTGAGCTGCGGTAACGAGCAATTTTTCCCACCGTGAGATCAATAAAGTCTTGTGTTTCTTATGTTATCGTATCTTATATATATATATGCACACACAGACACACAACTACTGAGAAAACAGCATGATCGTTAACTGCAGGTAGATGAAAAATGACCTTTGCACCATGTTGGTTCCATGTCACAATGAAAAGCTTTCTTGGTTTGAAAATGACCTTTGTTATTTTGCAGAACTACATAAGGGCAACACTATGTTCTTATACTAGTGTAATTTAATCTACAGCAATGGGTATGCAAAGCACTCCTTATAATAAAGGTTAGGGCATGCATTAATCCTTAACAAACAATCAAATAAAATAAATACTGTTGAACAAATCTCATCAACGCTTGATTTTAACCACAAGCAATCTTTATTAGTATTAAAGGCAAACAATATTGTTTGCCTTTAATACATCGATATTTTAGTAATTTAGGGTAAATTTGTAGTTTATCATTAACAGGAACACAGTGGAAAGAAACTAACATTCGGATTGTCTATATTCAAAGGAACTACTTCCGCCTTTCATAGTCATGTGCGAAATACGGCTGTATAAATGTCTTGCTGCCCCTTGGCGTGCGCACTCACAACAATGGCCGATCGTAACTGGAGTCATGTGTGAATGTATTTTACCTCCACAAACAGCTGAGACGTGGTTTGCGATACATGTGGCAAAAAAGTGAGGTGTTGTGGCCATACTTGCCAACCTTGAGACCTCAGAATTAGGGAGGCATTCAAAAGGGCTGTTGGGGGGTGATAAATACATTTTACAGGGTTTATTTATTGGGTAAAATACGTTAAATGTCACCGTTATTATCGGCCGGTCCCGAAACAGCGGGGGTGTCCAAATTCAGAGGCTGCTTCCACCTGAGGACCCGGCCTTCGCGGTCTAAAGAAAACCGGGTAGTATGTCACAGGCTCCCTCAGTGGAGTGAAACTCTGCCGTCTGCTCCTTGCTGTCTAAAATATAACCGGACACTGACGTAAACTCTTCTGTTTAATCAGTTTTCTGTTTAACGTTTATTCAGCTGTGTGAAAACCCCGGAGGAACCCTCCCGAGGGATTAATAAAGTTTTATTTAATCTAATCTAATCTAATCTAATCTAATAACTTTAATCTCAGCCAAACCGATTTACTCACGAACAAATAAAACACTGAAAAAGCCAAACAATAGCATTTTTAAGTTATCAAAGTGACTTATATATCATGTTTAACCCGAGTAGTGAAAGACCGCAGGGGTTTGAAGACGATGTGTCGGTCGGCTCAGATATTTGAAGTTTACACAGCTACAGTCTCACCTGAAAATATGTTAAAAGTTTTTTTGCGACCCAGAAAGAGAAATAAGAGTAATATTAAAACTAAGGTGCTGCCGCCATTGTTGGAAACTGGAATTGGCTGAGCCATGCTATGAATTCTGCAATATGGTTTTTCAATTTTGTATTGTATTGTATTTTTCATTTCTATATGACGAATCCTGCATTATTAAGTGATAAGAACAAGTAATCTGATGTCCTGTAATCATTATGACGCTATAATTTGAGATACAATTAATAAAATAAGTTTTTGTACAAAGTATCGGTATCGGATCAGTATCATCGATACCACCCTGGATATTACTTGGTATCGGATCGGAAAGGAAATCAGTGGTATCACACATCACTATTTAGGACTCATTTTTCCAAAAGATTGAATGTTGACTTAAAAAAAATAGAAACATATCTTTTCATTTAACTAAGTGTAGTATTGCCAATTATCTATTATACTTGCAAATCTGGATCTGGGGTATTTACATCTAATCTATAAATGTATTTCCCCCCATTTGCAGCAAATTACTAAGAATATTTTGATAGGAAAATGCAAATTACTTAAAAGTACTCACCACTGTTACTCCATGCAGTTCAGCTGTGTCCAGTCACTGAAGGAGGAATGCACTGTCTGCCTTCTTAAGTCCTCTGCAGCTGCAAGCACGTGTGTAAGTGTGTGTGACGCCTGAACACATCACAAGAAGCTCCATGCACGTTTGTGCTCAGGTGTGTGTGTGTGTACATGTGTCCATGGATGTGTGGTTATAAATGTTTGCATTTGTGTGTGTGCTTATGAGAGATGGAGTCAAACTGATGGGCAGTGTGGAATTTGGTATTTGTTAATGTGTTTTCTCAGTTAATAATCACAGCTACGAAATCACATAGCATACTTCTGGTCTTTAGTAACCTGCAATTATTGTGCAATACATTAATTTGCATGAAGTTAATATTGAGTAAGTGAGTGAATGAGCTTCAGAGTTACTGCTGTGGAAATCCAGAGACTAAATAAGATGAGCAGCTGTGCTAAACAGCACAATTTGGATACAATAACTAAATTTACTGACTTTTACACTAGTATATGCCAATTCTACAATATTTAAATATGATATATATATATATATATATATATATTTCATATATGGGTAGGGGTGGGTTTTGATAATCGATTTATTGCTTAAAATCCATTCTGGCTTCGATAACGTGATATCTATTCATTAAAATCCTGAATCAATTTTTTAATATAAATTTATTTTGCCCGAAATGCCACAATCTTAGGTGAAACCTCACAAAATTTCAACAACCACCAAACAGCTAAAACAGTGAATGAGAGCAGGAACACGGATTCTGCACATAAATGTAAACACAAAGCGCGGACCCGCTGACGGATCAGAATCAGTGAGATGTGGCTTTCTCACCCGATGGCACAGACACGGTCGGGGCTGAAAGCTGACAGCTCGCTGATTCTGATGTTTTGGCGGATCCGCGCTTTGTGTTTACGCA